GCGCCCTTTGAACGGTGCGGCTGTCAGAATATTATTCTTATGTTCTAGCCTGTAGTGGGGTGCTCTATAGCGAGTACAACCCTTCTAGGGTTTGCTATTTGTATCCCCATTTCTGCTAGTTCAATCCTCTTTCTTCTTTTAACTTTTGTCATGCTATCAGAGCAGGTCGATCCCCTTTGGATCGATCCTGTGGGTGGGTTACCACCTCGCTTCCGCTGCTACCTTTCCCTTCCCGCCGTGCGCCCCGAGGCGCGCGGCGGTTTTCCTTCCCGCCGTGCGCCCCGAGGCGCGCGGCGGTTTTCTTCCCGCCGTGCGCCCCGAGGCGCGCGGCGGTTTTCTGCCCGCCGTGCGCCCCGAGGCGCGCGGCGGTTCCTTGCCCGCTGTGCGCCCCGAGGCGCGCGGCGGGCTTCTCCCCTACGTCGCGGCCCCGCCCCGATCGTCGCGGCCCCGCCCCTCGACGCGGCCCCGCTCTATGTCGCGGCCCCGCCCTGGCCCGTCGCCGCCCGTGCGCCTGCCCGGCTCGGCCCCGCCCTTCGTCGCGGCCCCGCCCCGGCCCGTCGCCGCCCGTGCGCCTGCCCGGCTCGGCCCCGCCCTACGTCGCGGCCCCGCCCCGCTCGTCGCGGCCCCGCCCCTTGTCGCGGCCCCGCCCTCCAACCAGGCCCGTTGTGGGCCCCTTTCACCACACCGCCTCCCCCCCCCCCCCCCCCTGCCATTTCCCGTCGCCCGTCGCGGCTCCTTCGGGGGCCGCAAGCGGCCCCCTCAGGTCGCCACGACGGGCGACCTGAGGGGCGAGCTGTGGGGTGGCGGGTATGGGGGTGGCCGGTGTGCCTTCCTCCCTTTCTCCTCCTCCTCCTTCGTCTCCCACTACTGCAGCTGTCGCTGAGGGGGGTGGTTGTGTGGGAGACTGGGTTTAGGGTTTAAGGGGGGTGCGTGGGAGTGGAGCTAGCGGTGTAGCAGTGGGTGTGTATGAGGGGGGTGGGACTGTGTGTGGGAGGTTGAGCGGAGGTTGCCAGTTTGTCGTCCGCAGCACCTGTAGTCCGGGGCGCTGTCCCGGTAGCCCAGTGAGCTTGTCGCTGAGCCGGTCGCCTGTGGGTCCGTTGCCCGTCTGCCGCTACTTGAGCCGCGGGGCCTGTTACTCCCGTAGTCCGGGGCGCTGTCCCGGTAGCCACTGTGCTCGCCACTCCTGTTGCCCGTGTGTCTGCAGCTTCAGCCGCCGCCTTCTATCTCCTCTCCCCTCACTCTCCCTCCTCCTCCTCACTTGCCCGTTGTGACCACTGCTAGCTTTGCTCATAATTGTTAACTTTGAACTATTTCTTCTTGACCTTGTGCTCAGAATACGTGGTGACATTGTGATCCACCCTGAGCTTGTACTGTTTTGCCTGCTCTGCTGATTACACCCCACTTTGGCTATGGGGGTGTGTCAGAATATTATTCTTATGTTCTAGCCTGTAGTGGGGTGCTCTATAGCGAGTACAACCCTTCTAGGGTTTGCTATTTGTATCCCCATTTCTGCTAATTCATTCCCCTTTCTTTCTTCAAACTTTGTCAGCGGCAGCGGCATTTGCGGCGACGGCGCGTATCGTGGCGCTTTCGTTCGTCCCACGAGGCCGATGTCCCCAGTTGTTGTTTCCGTAGGACCCCGGTCTCGGTCGGCGAAAGAAGTCGAGCTTCTCCGCCATAGCGAGAATTTCCTGAAACTCAGTGACGCCGCGAAGCTGGATTTCCTGAGCGATGTCCTGCTTCAGGCCGCCGATGTAGCGGTCGATGCGTTCGCTCTCATGCATGTAGCCCACCTGCTCGCATAGCGCCAGAAATCCGCTCGTGTAATCCTGGACGGAACCGAGTTGGCGCCAAGTGCGGAGCTTCTGTCGCGCCGAGATCGAGGCCGCGATTGGCTCAAATCGAGCGCGCAGACCTGCGCACCACGCGTCCCACGTGCGATACTGGGGCACCTCCACGAAATACGACGGCGCCCAGGGTCCGGTTTGTCCTTCCCGTGTCGGTAGTGTCGCGTAGTCGGTCGGCTTCGTGACGATAACGCGCCACCAGTCCATGGCGGGTCCTCGCAGCAACGACACGGCGTATCGAATCTTCGCCGAGTCCTCCGAGACGTAGTTGGCGTCGAAGAAAACATTCATTGTGAATAACCACGCCTGAACGGTAGGACCACCCCGTTGACTCGGGTCAAAGCATGGCGGGCGTTGCGGCTTCAGCGGCATCGGTGACGGCAGTCCCGAATCGTGGGTTGGTGCCGAAATCGTGACGCGGGGCTGACTTGGGGCCGCAGGCGTCGCTCTGGGGTGTGTCGTGCCGTGGTCGTCGTCTCCGTCGGGGCGGACGACGCCATCACTGGCCGCGCTCGCGGGTTGCCCCACACTCCCGTGTTGTGATGTTGAGGGTGCGGGTTGAATCAGAGTGCCAGGTGCTTGGGATTGTGCTCTCAGGAGGTCATTTTGCAGTGATGAGCGTTCTGCCGTCAATGCCGCGATTTCCTCGGAGCTTTCGTGCAGTTGTCGCAACAGATCGTTCAAACGCTCCTGCGTGAGAGTGGTGACGTCGATGTTTTCGGCCATGACGAAGGGCGTCGGCTCGTCTTAGTCTAGGCGCAGTCGTGGCTGCACGCGTTTACGAGAGAACGCGAGGACAGCGGCTCCTAGGGGCTAAGGTGCGTGAGGCCCTTCGAGTGAAAAATCAAAAGTTGATTTCCTGCTGTGCGGAGATGCGCGGTCCGAAAGAAAGGGGCTCTGATACCAAGTGTTACGGGTGCAATGAATCGAGGTAGCGAGAATTGCACTAAGGTGTCAAACGAGTACAAAATGTGAGCGAAGGCATGAGCGAACATTTATACGCGAAACATGCAAAACGGTAACGCGGTGCGTGCGAGCTTGCTAGTGCTACGCTGGAGCGAGGCTCGGGCTAGTCCCGAAGCGTAGGCCGATACGGCCATGCCAGCAGTGCGAGGTTTGGTAAAACAGTGCGCGCGAAGTCGGCGAAGTTCCGTTAGCAGTAACGGGCGAACAATCGGCTGTTGCTGTACGCGATGTAGTCGGCTCCGTAAGGAATGCCGAGAAAATTCCTTACAGGTTTCCTCACCACACTTCCACTTGTACTAGTATACCACTTCCGCTTCTTACTACTGTAAGGGCACACATTTTTTACAAACTATCATGTTTGTATACACGATGCAAATCGTTATCACGTCCATTTCCCTATCCCATTCAAAAACCCCATCATTTGTGCGTTTGAATACGACAATGACACATCGTTTACTGTCATAATTTTTTACTGCAGCCATTGATAACGTAAATTATCATGCGTGTAAACTCTCCTTCGTAAGATACTTTGAGATGTTAGTAGTATTTTTTCGTATGCCCATTGTTGTAATTTTTTTACCTGTGGAGAATTAGGTGATAAGCATATGCTCATTTCAACCAACTTGATACGGAAAAAATATCGTTCATATAGATTATGAGCATATAGTATATGGCGGACAAACAAGACGAATATGCTTCAAAGTATAGTTTAAAGGATACAGTTCCGCCAGACTTAGTTTCTGTCTTTAGCGAGCACTAGTTCTGTTGATAGATAAGTATTGTACACATAATTCTCAATAATTGCACAGCTTAGACGCGCTGTTTTGAAGATACCATAGTTGTAATTTGGCTTGATATCGGACAAATAAATGACTATCAATAGACAACAAGAGGTACAAATTAATAAAACCCGCACTTTCTGTTCCGATTGGTGGGAGAGAGAGGGTGGTGGTGATTGCCCCTGATATTCTTGTTCCATTCTGTAATCGTGACAGGGTTGTAGGACTCTCCCCCTAAAAAATTGTTGTACATCGTTAACTACCCTGCGAGTAAGTCTTACCAAGGGTTTGTACCAGAGAATTAGTTATAGAGTTTGAAAATTTAGAGAACTTTGTGTAGAAAAGCACCTTGCAGTCATAGGAAACTGGGGAGGAAACTGAGGGGGTTGTGGGCGTGGAGGGGGCAGTTGGGTTTCATTCGACATGAAAAGGTCAGCGGTTCAGTGCTCTACAACCTCTTTCGCGCTACACTGGCAACGGGATTCACTGGCTACAGTGAAACTGTTCCTTGGACGTATTCGGAATTGCTACAATAACCGTCTCTAGGGGTTGAGTGATTCGCAATTTCGTTATCCTGGGTACCCTACCGAGCCATATCAAACGCTCAAACGACCATCTTCGAAAGTAACGAACCACGTCAAACCGTACTGGTGCAAAAGTCCACTAAAACGCGTCCTCTGGCGCGTTGAGCCACAGGGCCCATATAGCCAATGACAGTGTAGCGCGAAAGAGGGTGTACAGTTCTCATGGCTGTGTGCCAGTGCACATCAACACAGCAGCTTCAAGTGGGTGTCTAGAGGCCAGGGGTAGGCTGAAGGTCAACTCTTCGAGTCTCGAAGGCGCAGCAACTGGGTGACTCGACCTGGCAATTCTCGGCCCTTGGGTCAACTCTGCCCAAGATGGGATCCATTTCGACCAAAATCGCAGCAGAAACTGTAGCTCAGTTCTCCTTTTTGACCCCGCATTCCGGGGTGGTTATAAATATTGTACAAATACATCACGAGGGTTGTTCATTTTCCTTTTGCCAACTTCAGTCGTTTGATGGCCGAAACACACAAATTACTGAACTGAGGCCAAACTGGAATTGAACGGGCTTGCTATGGTAATGTTCCAAAGTTTACCAGATTTTCAGAGTAATCCGGGGTAAACCATCCTGCAAAACGGTGCTGCTTCAGAACCCACCCAACTCCACCCAACTACTGTATTTTGCTCAACGTTCAGCCCATCTCCTCTGAGCGCTCAACGGAAACAGCACAGGCTTCATGCACGCATACCGAACTGTCGCACAAACTTTCGCACATAGTCGCACGGTCCATTCTTGACGCGCCAACGTCACACAACCTCGCCATTTGTCGCTCCTGCCCCCTAGAGTAGTAAGGTCCTTTTTGCAAGGCGGTATTAAAAGTAGATGGGAGGATGGAAAGAGCAGGGATGGCTTGGGAGGGGAAAAGGCGGCGCGGGGGGGGAAAGAGCTGATACAGCAGGGGAAGGGAGTGGCCGGGGTGGGGAAAAGGAGGGGGAGATGACGGCAGGGGCGGGTGCGGATGATGAAGTGCCGCTGTTGGATGACGAGGAGGTGGCGCGGGCGGACAAGGAGGTCATTCAGGGTACTGAGCGCACCCACAGCCACCTAATCGCCTCCTGCTTTGATTCTTTGAGTGGTTGAAAGAAAGAAAGAAAAAAGGAAATCTTCTTCCATCTTTCCATGTTTCACCGAGACCCGTGGCACATAGTAATATCGGCAGATGTTGTGCTGTATCTGTCCTTCGAGGCGCTTGCAGTCTTGCAGGACGACGAACCTATCCCAAGAGTCACGGGCAAAAATTAACCGTTTAAGGCGCCAATGTGACCCAACCCACCCGTATCTTTGAAGACACTTAATTAGGGTCTCAGACCATGTCTTTGAAACCTCCTAACGGGTCCTTGTAGACAGATCCGGGACCGCGGCATATTTGTCTCGCTCGCTTCTGATGATAAAGGTGGCACTTTCCATTGCCTCGCGTGTCTCTGTGCTTCCTAGTCCCTATCCTTGTTGGCCGCCGTCCTGTGCGTAGCCAACTCTGTCCTACCACATTCATACCCCCTGCCTTTCTTCCCCGTCCTTTCGCTGCCCCCTTCCCGCTCCCACATCCCGTCACAATTCCCCCTCTCCCCCCCCCCCCCCCTCTCCCCCGCCCTCACCACATTCCTTTGCCCTTCCCCCCGTCCTCTCAACCCCTTCCCATCCTTTGCCTTTCGATGCCGTCCTTCCACCCTCTTCCCTCGCTCCCCATCACGCGTGCGCGCGCGGGGGCGGGCAGCGGTGTTTGAGCGCGTGGTGGAGGCGCAGGCGCAGCTGCACAACTACAAGAGCCTCGTCATTTTCGCGCTCTTCACCGCTCTCTACCTCCTCATGCTCTGCCTTCAGGTGCCTCCTCATGCTCTGCCTTCAGGTGCCTCCTCATGCTCTGCCTTCAGGTGCCTCCTCATGCTCTGCCTTCAGGTGCCTCCTCATGCTCTGCCTTCAGGTGCCTCCTCATGCTCTGCCTTCAGGTGCCTCCTCGTGCTCTGCCTTCAGGTGCCTCCTCGTGCTCTGCCTTCAGGTGCCTCCTCGTGCTCTGCCTTCAGGTGCCTCCTCATGCTCTGCCTTCAGGTGCCTCCTCATGCTCTGCCTTCAGGTGCCTCCTCATGCTCTGCCTTCAGGTGCCTCCTCGTGCTCTGCCTTCAGGTGCCTCCTCATGCTCTGCCTTCAGGTGCCTCCTCATGCTCTGCCTTCAGGTGCCTCCTCATGCTCTGCCTTCAGGTGCCTCCTCATGCTCTGCCTTCAGGTCCGCTTCTCCTCATGCTCTCTTCCTTGCCTGCCCATGCTCGCCATTTCTTGTGCTTGCATGGATCCTTGTTCCTCTCGCATCCTCTCCCTCTCGCATGCTCTCCCTGCCGCTAAGCCTGCAAACAGGAAGAAGCAAGCCTGCCTGTTACACGCACTTGAGCAGTGATATTTTTGAACTAGCACTGAGAACGGCTGGCCCCGGTCAGGCCACCCGAGCCCACCCCATTCTAATTGTGAATGCCAACCAAACACGTGCGGATCTGACACAGCACCATGTCTGCGCGGATGTGCCATCAAGTTAAACTGACGTGGGCCGGCCCAGCCGGGCATGGCGTGTGAGCAGGTCAGCTGACCCTGGCCCTGGCCCTGCTGGCCCTGGCCCTGGCGCTCATGCCGAGTCACGACTCAAGACCTCTCGTGGTGTCCCGCATTGTGCATGCTCGCTCTGCTCGTGTCTGTGTGTCATGCCCCCCCCCACCAGGCGCAGTCCTTCCACAGCTACCAGGTGGCCACCGCTCACTCCGTCCTGCTGCCTCCGGTATGCCTTCGGCCGCCTCTCCTCTGCCTGCCAGCTGCCCTATCATGCGCCCACCATGTGACTTCACTTGCTACTCTGGCACAGCCCACCACGTGCCTCTCCTCTCCCTTGCCACCACCCGTTTCTCCCTTCCAATCGCAGCCGCTGTCCTCCAACCGTTGGCTCTCATGATTCTCTGCGCGCACGCGCGCGCGCGTGTGTGTGTGTGTGTGTGTGTGTGTGTGTGTGTGTGTGTGTGTGTGTGTGTGTGTGTGTGTGTGAGTGTGTGTGTGTGTGATTGGGCGAATGTGGGCGTGCATGGTGTGCATGCTGTGAGGGCGGCAGGACTACTCCAAGGACTCGAGCTACTCCTTTGCCAGCAGCAGCGCTTTCTACACCTGGCTCAATGACAGCATCATTCAGGTGATTGCAACGACACCATCATTCAGGTGATTCCAACAACAGCATCATTCAGGTGATTCCAATGTTCAGCTGATGTTGTGGTGATTCCAACGACAGTATCATTCAAGTGATTCTAACGACAGTATCATTCAGGTGATTCCAACGACAGTATCATTCAGGTGATTCCAACAACAGTATCACTCAGGTGGTTCTAACGACAATCATTCAGGTGATTCCAACAACAGTATCATTCAGGTGATTCCAAGGACAGCATCATTCAGGTGATTCCAACGACATTGTGATTGAGGTGAATACAGTGAAAACCATTCAGGTGGTCCAAGGCTCACGTTTTCATTGACTGGTCGAATTCTGGTGGTCAGGGGTTGGTTGTGTTGATTTCTCCGGGAGCCCACACAGCAGTGGGAACGATTCAGCTGCTCCAGTGGGACCAGTCAACCCAGAATATCCAGAGTCACGCACGTCGCCCGCCCCCCCTCCCGCCCCTGCTCAGGCCGTATGGACGGACCCGCAGTGTGGCGATGGCACATGCACGCCCCCCATGGAGGTACCAGCGGTGGGTCGCTTCGGGTGCGCCCTGGACTGCGGGTTGGCCAGCAACGTGACGGCGGTGACGGTGGCGCTGCGCTGGCGCTTTGCATCCACGGACGCCATGGCGGCCTCCTCCTGGAACCTCTGCTCCACCTCCATCCGCGACGTCTGCTGGTGAGCCGCCATCCGCCACGTCTGCTGGTGAGCCGCCTGCACTGCGTGAACGACTCAGTTTGTGTGAGATGTTGGGTGTGGTGTATGCTTGAAAATGGAGGGTTTTGATTCGACCTTTCAAATCCCACAATAGCATCCTACCTTCTCCTTACCCACGCTCTCCCCACACACCAGGTTCGAGGGTGCGCAGGTGTTCACGGAGGTGGCAGGCTGGCACACGCTCACGCTGCAGCTGCCAGACAACGACTGGTTCGTCTCACTCACTGCACCGGACGGCGGGGTGAGCGTGTACGTGTACGAGTCACAGCCCACCACCAGCCAGGACGGACCACTGCTGCCTTCAGCCTCCCTCGACGCAGCTGCGGCAGCAGCAGCATCAGCAGCACCGCCCTCCTCACCCACTCCCGCGCCTCCCCCCTCTAGCGCCGGCGCCCCTGCCTCCTCGCCCTCTGCAGCGCCGTCTCCTTCGGGGGGCGTGAAGGGGAGGGTGCGGCCGTCCAACGGCACGGGCGCTAACGTGCTGCTGGCGCTCATCGATGGCTGCGTGGCGGATGGCGAGAGCGGTCTGCAGCGGTGCAGACAGGTATGATGGAGAGTAGTTATAGGCAGGCTGTGTTAGAATTAGGCTGTCAACACTTTGTGTACTATATTCTATATCGCGTAGGTTATTTGTGGGTTGGGTGTAGTTTGTGATCCCAACCCTATCTGGTTGGGGTTCCTTCGTAATCCTGCAAATCTGCCAACTCACCAATTGGAGATTTGCTAGGATTCCCATCCCATCTTTTCCCTAGCCTTGCCCATCCCAACCTCGTTTGTACTTAAGGCCTAGTGCCTTCTTTCTTAATCAATCAGTTCAGTTCCAATTCTATCAGGCTGGTGCAGTGGAAAGGAGGGCGTGCAGTGCAATATAGTGCAGCGAGGTGCTGAGGGCCCGGTATTACCGGGTGGGTTTGCTGAGTGGCATGTGCTGAGTGGCATGGAGGCGACGTGCCGCTGTTAGCGTGTGGAATCTGTGGATCGCTGTGTGGCACATGGGGAGAGTAATGGGTAGCGGCACAGAGCAGAGCAGTCTGACCTCACAACACAGAGCAGGCTGTGAGGTGGTGTCCTTCCTTGCATGCTACACCCTCACTCTCGTATGACTCGACCTCCTTGCCTGCACCTTATCCTCTCTCCGACTCCGTCTCATCCCCACATGTCTTCTCTCCCTTTTTGCCCCAGACTTGTGCCGTTTGGACTCTCTGTCTTCCACAGCTGTGCACCAACAGTAGCAGCAACGGCAGCACTAGCACTAGCACTAGCAGCGGTGATGCTACGGCTCCTCCCATGCGGGCGGCCTCCTTGGCTCTGGGCAGCTGCTTCCAGGCCTGCAACGCCATGCTGCCCCGCACTTCCTTCCTCCCACCTGACAACGTCTCCTGCCCCCAGGTTCTTCCTTTCTTTCAAACCCACTACACCTCCACCATCATTCTAACCCAACTATCCGTTCAGTGCCATGTCTCATCACTTCCCTGATAGACAAGTCTGTTTTGAGATTTCTCTGAAAATCTAACAATCAGTTCACTGGGGCTTTTTCATCAGTGCAGTCTTGTGTGAACACTGCTTTTGCCACTGTCTGGCTACTTGTGAAGCATTGCCATCACCAAATGATGTTCCCTGTCGTGATCGCATATACCACATCCCTACCCAACTCCATGAATCAATTGACCTTGCAGCATACCGACGTGTTCCCCTGCTGTCCTCTTTCTTGATCCGCCTCTATGTATCCTCCCTCTCTTCCCTCTCTTCCCCCATCCGGCAGGCATTCACTCTCTTCGAGCCTTTCGTCCAGACGCCCTCATGCACCGGTGCGCCCTCCTGCCCTCCCCACCCTCCTGCCCTCACCACCCTCCTGCCCTCCCCACCCTCCTGCCCTCCCCACCCTCCTGCCCTCCCCACCCTCCTGCCCTCCCCACCCTCCTGCCCTCCCCACCCTCCTGCCCTCCCCACCCTCCTGCCCTCCCCACCCTCCTGCCCTCCCCACCCTCCTGCCCTCCCCACCCTCCTGCCCTCCCCACCCTCCTGCCCTCCCCACCCTCCTGCCCTCCCCACCCTCCTGCCCTCCCCACCCTCCTGCCCTCTCCTCCACCCTCCTGCTCCTCCCCCCCACCCTCCTGCCCTCCCCACCCTCCTGCCCTCCCCACCCTCCTGCCCTCCCCACCCTCCTGCCCTCTCCTCCACCCTCCTGCCCCTCCCCCCCAACCCTCCTGCCCTCCCCACCGTCCTGACCCCACATTTCGCTATTTCACGCCCTTCCCACATCTTTCTCTCTTGCCGTAATGTTTCCCTCTGCCATGAACTGGTGTGCCACCGTTACTTTGCTCCTTTCCGCCCTTGATAGACTCTCCTAAGGACGTCAGTGTACGTCCCCTTCTTGCTTTTCTATAAAGCAGCCCCATGAGGAGTCACGCTGTGTCACCTCTGCCATTGCCTCGTGTGCAGACATCCTCTCGGAAACTGCTGTTCCTGATCAGGCAGCCACAGCAACAGCAGCAGCAGCAGCAGCAGCAGCAGCAGCAGCAGCAGCAGCAGCAGCAGCAGCAGCAGCAGCAGGCCCATCTTCTTCCCGTCTTCTCCTTTCTGCGTCGATTCCCGATAACGCAAATCAGCAAACCGTCATGTCATCTGTCGTCCAGGTCCGTGCACTGCGCTGTCTGCACTGCACTGTCTGCACTGCGCTGTCTGCACTGCCCTGTCTGCACTGCACTGTCTGCACTGCGCTGTCTGCACTGCGCTGTCTGCACTGCGCTGTCTGCACTGCGCTGTCTGCACTGCGCTGTCTGCACTGCGCTGTCTGCACTGCACTGTCTGCACTGTGCTGTCTGCACTGCGCTGTCTGCACTGCGCTGTCTGCACTGCGCTGTCTGCACTGCGCTGTCTGCACTGCGCTGTCTGCACTGCGCTGTCTGCACTGCGCTGTCTGCACTGCGCTGTCTGCACTGCGCTGTCTGCACTGCGCTGTCTGCACTGCACTGTCTGCACTGCGCTGTCTGCACTGCGCTGTCTGCACTGCGCTGTCTGCACTGCGCTGTCTGCACTGCGCTGTCTGCACTGCGCTGTCTGCACTGCACTGTCTGCACTGCGCTGTCTGCACTGCGCTGTCTGCACTGCGCTGTCTGCAGCCCTGTCTGCACTGCGCTGTCTGCACTGCACTGTCTGCACTGCGCTGTCTGCAGCCCTGTCTGCGCTGTCTGCAGCCCTGTCTGCGCTGTCTGCACTGTCTCGACAGCACTGGCATGGCATCACACACCTGCCTCTCAGTGGTTCTCTTGGAATGGAACACTCGTTTAGGACCTGTTAAGAAGCTGCAGGAGACATAATGCTGATGCTATATTTCCTTGCTGCATTCTTTCTGCCTCGTCTGTTTCAAAAACATCTCTATTGTCTCCACTGCTGCCCATGCACTCCACTGCTGCCCATGCTCCACTGCTGCCCATGCACTCCACTGCTGCCCATGCACTCCACTGCTGCCCATGCACTCCACTGCTGCCCATACACTCCACCGCTGCCCATGCACTCCACCGATGCCCATGCACTCCACCGCTGCCCATGCACTCCACCGCTGCCCATGCACTCCACCGCTGCCCATGCACTCCACTGCTGCCCATACACTCCACCGCTGCCCATGCACTCCACTGCTGCCCATGCACTCCACTGCTGCCCATGCACTCCACTGCTGCCCATGCACTCCACTGCTGCCCTCCTGGCCACTGTGCCCGTTCCTCTGCTCGCCGCTGCCACGTGCAGCACCACCAGCAGGTGAGGCAGCAGCTGCAGGAGACGAGGGCGCAGCAGCATGAGGCGGTTGAAGCAGCAAGGCAGCAGCATGCCGTGGGGGAGGCACACGTCTCCGCCACTGCCACCACTCCCAACACCACCACCACCCGCCTCGGGCCACCACAGGGGCCTCCCACTCCGCCGCCATCGCCACCAGGTGCCTGCTGCTTCCCCACCCGAGCCTTCACTTCTTTTCCTGCTGCTCTCTTTGCCTTGCACGTTCTTCTCTCCCTTCTTTCCATTCCCTCTCACCCTTTCCTCCACTGCTGCCCTTGCACTCCTCCTTGCGCCTCCTCTTCTTCCCATCAACTCCACCAAGGCCATATTTCAAGCTGATTGGCTTCTTCTCTTGCTTTGTTCACTCTCGTTCTAGAGGCACATAAAAGACCTTTCTCTTAACAAGCTGAGGATATCCGTCTGCTTCGAACCCGCCGATCTTTATTCTTTCACCATCCGATTCATCTCGAATTGGTTCGGGTTCGACTTGAACCAGATTGACCGGTTTGAAACGGCTGTGCCTCGCGACCCACGTTGTGCTGGTCCCAGGTTGTGCTGGTCCCAGGTTGTGCCGGTCCCAGGATTCACCTCTCCACCCGCAGTCGCCTCACCTCAGCCTTCCTGTCGTTCTCAGATTACCTTCCTCTTCGCCTATCCCTGCACCCGCCCTTCCCTGCACCCGCCCCGCCCTGCAGCGTCTGCCGCTGCGCCAATCAAGCGAGACCAGCTGCTCGTTTGGGAGAGCCTCGGGACTTCCGAAATTGAGCGAATCAGGGCGTGCCAGGTGGCAGTGGCGCGGGCGCTGTACACCGCCGTGAAGGAGAACTGCCTGGCCGGGCCGACAGGTGGCGCCAGCAATGGCAGCAGCAGCAGCAGCATGGGCAGCGGCGGGTTGTTTCTATCGTCCTCCCCGGCCAAGAGCCTCTCCCTTGCCTCTCGCAATCGCCTCGTCGCCTTCCTCTGCACACTCTTTGGCGGCCCTGTGGCCGATCACCCCCTATGCAACTTCACCCAACCTTCCTCTGGGCGGCAGTTGAAGGATCAAGCAGAGCTCTTGGAATACATTCGAGCGACTCACCGCACGTACGGGGCTCACAGGGGGGCTGAGAGGGGGGCTGGGAGAAGGGTTGGGAGGGGGCTGACTGGGCGCTGGCAGGGGGGCTGAGAGAGGGGCTGAGAAGGGGGCTGAGAGGGGGGCTGACAAGGCGGCTGACTGGAGGACTGAGAAGGTTGCTGACTGGGGGACTGAGATTCTCATCTTTGCGCCCTCTAGGCTAAATTCTAAACCTGAACTCACTTCTTCTCCAGCTTAGAAGACCACCCAGTTTGCTTTTCTATCCTCTCACGCCCTCTCTCCCCATTTTCCTCCGTTCTCTCCCACGCCTCCTGCCACTCACCTTCATGTTTTGTTGTCATTGTCCCCAATCCGCTGACCCCTGCTCATCCCACCCCTGCAACGCCTGCACAGTCCATCTCGGCGCTTCTCTGCCGCCCAGCAGTCTCTCTTCATCCAAATCCTCATCATGGCACTGCAGTCAGTCGTGCAGAAGATGCCAGATGATGCCGTCCAGGCTGCCACCCGTCTGCTGCATGCCTATGACGATGCAGTCGTCTCCTTTGATGCGTCTTCCTGCCCCCAAGGTGCCCTTTGCGTTCTCACTCACCCCGTTCACTGCTTCTCTCAGCTCTCATGCTCTGCTGCCATTAGACAACCCTTTGCTGCTTCTTGTTCTCTACCTCCCCACTCTGCCTCTCAAAATGCTTTCTCTCGCGCCAGTGCCCCCCCCCTTCTTCTCGCGCTGCTCTCCTCTCCTCTCGTGTGGCCCTCTCTGCTTTCTCACTCTCCATTGCCCCACTCACTCACTCAGTTCGCTTCAATTTGTTCCCACCCCCTATTGTCTCCCCTCTTCTCTTCCCTCCCCTCCATCCCTGAACCTCCCTCTCTCTTTCCTCCCCTTTCCCCCCACAGCCGACTTCACAGTGCTGTGGGACTCGACCTCCTTCGCCCGGCGGGCCATTGCGGACGGCCAGAGGGTCACGTGGGTGTGGAATGACGACAATTACCACGAGCTCAGAGGTGCGCCTGTAGCGAGCTCACAGGTGCGCCTGTAGCGAGCTCAGAGGTGCGCCTGTAGCGAGCTCAGAGGTGCGCCTGTAGCGAGCTCAGAGGTGTGCCTGTAGAGAGGTGAAGGATTGCGGGGTAGTAATGAGGTGAGCACGAGCGGGCCACATGAGGTGAGTGGCAACCCGCGGCGGGTGGCTCGTGGATGTCATGCTTGATGCGCCCACCCGACCTGCCTTGCCTTCACACCCTGCCACGGTCGTGGTGCTATGTGAATCGCTGAATTGCTCAAATCAAATTCCGGCATCATATCTCGTTGGCTCTTTGATGGGAATCCGCGTCTATGTGGGCTTCCAACAGTGGCAAGGTTACAAACGAGCCACAAGCCTCCGTGGGTGGTGACAAGGCAGCCATGTGAAAACGATAGCCTTACTTGGGTCATGGTTTCCCACTCACTCGTTACTTGATGCTCATGCCCATAGACTTGTGTGAGGCACCAGCATGCCATGAGGCACCAGCATGCCATGAGGCACCAGCATGCCATGAGGCACCAGCATGCCATGAGGCACCAGCATGCCATGAGGCACCAGCATGCCATGAGGCACCAGCATGCCATGAGGCACCAGCATGCCATGAGGCACCAGCATGCCATGAGGCACCAGCATGCCATGAGGCACCAGCATGCCATGAGGCACCAGCATGCCATGAGGCACCAGCATGCCATGAGGCACCAGCATGCCATGAGGCACCAGCATGCCATGAGGCACCAGCATGCCATGAGGCACCAGCATGCCATGAGGCACCAGCATGCCATGAGGCACCTGATTGCTGCAGCGAAACCATGGGAGGCTCAGGTGTTCCTCATCGATCCCATCTGCTTGTTTCCCCCCTGAATTCTCAGGCTGCTCCCTCCCGCACTCCTCCACTGCTCCCCTCTGCACTCCTCCACTGCTCCCCTCTGCACTCCTCCACTGCTCCCCTCTGCACTCATCCACTGCTCCCCTCTGTACTCCTCCACTGCAGGGCCGGTGAGCTCAGAGCCGTTTCTTGGGTTTGGAGCAGGGAGGCTCGGCCTATCACGGCTTGCCACGTGTGCATGGGACAACATCGGGCCCAGAGATGCGATGGATGAGCCTGCGCCATGCGTGCTGCGTGAGTACATTGTAGCGATGACGTGGCACCTATGGAGTGATAAGATAAGAGGCATGTGTGAAAGGCATGCTCGACCTCAAAGAGGTAAGCTTTCATTTCCAACCTGGGTACAGTAGAGGTAAGCCTGGGCAGAGGTAAGCCTGGGCAGAGGTAAGCCTGGGCAGAGGTAAGTGCACCGTCGCCCCCTTCCACGCTGTTATCATCCTTCCCTCACATACCATCACATCACGTACCCTTCATGCCCATACTGCATACATGTGACCTCCTCATGCCTCCCGTCCGTACACATGTGTCCCCGTGGTCTCTACTGCCTGCACCCTCGTGGTCCCTACTTCATTCCGCACGCCCATTCTTAGCCGGCTGCTCTCCTGACGACACATCAGCGCTTCCCTTGGCACTGATTCCTCCTCATGCTCCTCATGCTCCTCATGCTCCTCATGCTCCTCATGATCCTCATGCTCCTCATGCTCCTCATGCTCCTCATGCTCCTCATGCTCCTCATGCTGCACACTCTCCGCATGCTCCGCATGCTCCTCATGCTCTGCATGCTCCCCACTCTCCGCATGCTCCTGGCCGGATGCTCTCCTGGCAACACATCAATGCTCTCCTGGCAACACATCAATGCTTCCATTGGCAGCGATTCCTCCGCTTCCCCCTCGTGCTCCCCACCATCCTGCCCACAGGGTCGCCTGGCGACAAGGCAGGGGCGCATTTCACGTACACCAAGGTGTTTGGCACGGCGCAGGACATGACCGTCAAGGACTCGCCGCAGTCGCTCGCCTCCACTCTCCTCCGCGCCACCCCCCACCCAGGTGCCACCCCTCGCCCATGTGCCACCCCCCACCCATGTGCCACCCCCCACCCATGTGCCACCCCCCACCATGTTCCACCCCCCACCATGTTTCACCCCCCACCATGTGCCACCCCCCACCATGTGCCACCCCCAACCCAGGTGCGGCCATTCCAGGCACCAGTGGCACTGCCACGTGACAGTCACTCGCACACACACACATGCATGCACGGGCCATCCGTCCTTCAAGCTGCCTCACCTCACCGTCGCTCTCCCCTCCCTCTGCATGCGCTCTGCCATCTCGCCCTCTGCCATCTCGCCTTCTGCCATCGCCCTCTGCCATCGCCCTCTGCCATCGCCCTCTGCCATCGCCCTCTGCCATCTCGCCCTCTGCCATCTCGCCCTCTGCCATCGCCCTCTGCTATGGCCCTCTGCCATGGCCCTGTGCTCTGCGATGCTCATTGCAACCATCCCTGCAACGTGGCACTCTCTCACCCATCCTCTCGCCTGTCTCCATGCACTGCCCTCGCCCTGCCCACCCGCCTGCCCCCCAGCAGAGCCGCCACCAGCCACGTCTCTGCGGCCGTACGAGCAGCTGCTGGCCACGCGCTGTGCGCCCGCCTGTGCGCTGGCCATGCTGGCCAATGGCCGCTGCGACCCCGCATGCAACGTGGTTGCCTGTGACTTCGATGGGGGCGACTGCGCCTGCGCCGCAGCCGACGCTGCTGGGGCTGGCGGCAGCAGCAGTGGCAGCGCTGGAGCCGATGTGCAGTGGTGTGAATGCTCGGTGTTGCAAACACGGGGGGTTGATGGCGGTAAGCAGGAAGATGCATTCAGTCTCATCACAGATATCTGCGTGTCCCTCTAGCCTCTAGACATGCTACTTTTACGCCGAAGCCTGGGTGGGGGGTGCGGATCTGTTTCCATGCAATGTGTGCTTTCATGCAATGTGTGCTTTCATGCAATGTCTGCTTTCATGCAATGTCTGCTTTCATGCAATGTCTGCTTTCATGCAATGTGTGCATGCCATCCATTTCCTGCAGATTGTGATTCTCCATCCTCCCCTATTCTTCCCCCGCTGCCCCCCTCTGCTCCCTCCACCTGTGCTGTGCGCCACCCACCGGGGGGATCTGGGTCATGCAATGTGTGCTTCCGTGCAACGTCTGCTTCCCCATCCTCCCCCATTCTCCTCCCCCTTCACGCCCCCCCCCCCTCCCCCCCCCCCTTCTCCCCCGAATTCTCTCGACCTTCTCCCGCTTGCTCCACAGCGTGCTGTGAGGCGGCCGGGGTGGGAGAGGGCATCAAGGTGCCCTTCAGGCTGCGCCGCTTCGGCTCCACCGTGCATCCCCTCGACGCCACTCCCGCCACCAATGCCTCTCTGCTGCCGCGCACTGTCTCCCAGTACAACAGGTGCCGCACTGTCTCCCAGTACAACAGGTGCCACACTGTCTCCCAGTACAACAGGTGCCGCACTGTCTCCCAGTACAACAGGTGCCGCACTGTCTCCCAGTACAACAGGTGCCGCGCTGTCTCCCAGTACAGCAGGTGCTTTCACTGTGTTATGCTTCCTCTCCGCATTTCGTCTCTCTGCTTGCTGCCCACCCAGTTACTTCCTTCAATGTCAGGCCTGACCACTGTGCTGCGTGCTCCTCTCACTCACTCTGCCATGCGCTGTGTTCCCCTCTGCATGTACCGTGCGTGGCTCGCGTGTGTCGCATCCCGCAGTGTGCTGGTGGGGCTGGTCATTGTGCAGTACCGCTGGAACTCTGACCGCTGTGGTAACAGCAGGTTAGTCACCCTCCTCACCCCAAACCAATCATCAACAGTCAAGAGCATCTGACCTGACCGTATGCAGGTTCTCCAGCCCCATGCACCTTTTGAATCAGGGCCCTCTCACACAGCTTGTGTACATACCCACATTCACCATTCCTCTCATTCCTCCCCTCTCATCCGCCGCTCCCCCCTGCTTTTGTCCACCAGTCCTCTCCTGCCTCACCCCCTCCCCTGCCTCCTGCCCTCCCCTGCATCACCCCTCCCCTCTCATCTGCCGGTCCCCCCTGCCTCACCCGGCGTGGCAGGTTCCACTTCCAGGACGCATGTGTGGGGGGGGAGTCGTCGAGGGCGTTTGGGGTGAACCCGGTGTTCCTGCCGTCCTCGTCGCTCTACAACCCCAATGTCGCCGTCAGCAACACCACTGCCTTCACCAACCAGCCCTTCGCCAACCCCTTTGAGCTCAACGCCAAGGGGCTGCCCTTCGGCTTCCAGCAGCTCGTGAGTCCCACCTCGCCTTCACCCATGCGCACCACCTCCCCCTCCAGTCCAGACCCCTTCCTTCCTTTGGTACTTCACCCTCCTCATGGCCCATTGTGGGCCGATTCAGGCTCCATCCATGCTGCTGATGCGTTGAGTCGATCCTGATTGAGACGTATGAACCTTGATGTGCCTGTGCAGTCAGTCAGTGCAAAAGATGCCTCTCTTGCTCTCTACACTCCCTTGCACTCCCTTGCACTCCCTTGCACTCGCAACCCAACCCCCACCGTGTCCACAGCCCGGCAGCGGGCGCTTCCCGATCGTGTTTGACGTGAATCTGGACAACGCGGGGGCAACGCGGCGGCTGCAGTACTTGGTGGACGGCTTCTTCATCGACAACTACACCCGCACCATCCACGTTGGCCTCATCACCCGCAATGGTAATTTGCCTGGCATCACCCGCAATGGTAATTTGCCTCGCATCACCCGCAATGGTACTGTGAACTCTGTGTGCTTGTGTATTCACCTTGTTGACTGGCTTTCAGCCTGTGTGAGCTTCCCTCTCTTGTCTGCATGTGCACTCACCCTCTTTGTTCCCCCCCACCCCCCCGCCCCCCTTTGCCGGGCAGCCAACGAGCATCTATTCACGGCCACCAAGGCCACCCTGACGGTGCAGTCGGGCGGCAGCATGGAGGCGTCATTCCAAGTGCAGCCGGTGAACGTGGAGTACTACAACATGAATGAGAGCAGCAACGTGCTGCGCCTCGTGGTCGAGCTGCTCTTTGTGGCCGCGGTGGCGTGGAGCATCGTGGAGGAGGTGAAGGAGATGCTGTGGACGTGGAAGGTGCAGCGCCGCTCCTTCTGGCACTACGCAAGCAAGGGCTGGAACTGGGTGGACTGGCTCTCCATCGCCCTCCAGATCACCGCCATCGCCATCTGGTCAGCATCCTTGGGGTGCCCACGCATGGGTTGAAGAGGCATGGTGGTGAAGAGACATGGGGTGAAGAGGCATGGGGTGACAAGGCAGGGGGTGAAGAGGCATGGGGAGACGAGGCATGGGGAGACGAGGCATGGGGAGACGAGGCATGGGGAGACGAGGCATGGGGAGACGAGGCATGGGGAGACGAGGCATGGGGAGACGAGGCAGGGGGTGACTGTCAGAACAAGGGTTGAATTCATTGATAAGAAGGGATCGGTTGTATGAGATGCAATCCCAAGGAGATCCTAGGGGAATCCAACCAATCCAACCAACCAGCCAAAGGAGGATAAGATTTTGGATGGAGATGAGGTTGGATAGGCTGGGGATGAAAAATATACACCCAACACAACTAGAAACTAAACTTGCTAAACATGTAAGCCCTAAAACTTTTAAGGCTAACACACAAAGGGCAACCTATTTCCAACAGTGATGAGTTATGGGGCAAGTTGAAGCGGTGAGGTGGGGACTGAGTGTGGTGGATCATTCTCGTGACGCTTACATTAAAGGAGTGCATGCGGGTGCTGTCTGACGGGCATACGGCACACGCCAACCACCTTCATCTTCATTCCAATGGCGAGTCCTGCTGCATGAAAATTCAAGTCAGACATGAGCATCGCACGAATTGGAACACGTTTGACTCAAACCTTTTCAAACAACATGGAACAACAAGTCTTCCCTAGACATGAGCATTGCACAAATCCGAACACGTTTGACTCAAACCTTTTCAAACAACATGGAACAACAAGTCTGCCCTAGACATGAGCTGAGCATCGCAGACATCCGAACACTTTTTTTCTGAAAACTCATGTTCGAGTGTTCCCATTCATAGGCGAACACTTCGATGTTCGCGCAAAAATCATACGTGTTCGTGGCGTACTCAAACGTGTTCGAGGCGTACTCAATCGTGTTCGAGTTCGCTCCTGGATTTTCACTTTAGTGTCATACTGTGGCTTGCTGCCACTTCCCCCTGCCAGGTGCAACAAAGGAGGAATCCTTCAACAAGACATAGCACACACACAGTGTAGGAACCAAGCAACCAGGTCACAAACGTGCAGGCCAGTATCTAGCAACAGTAAGCCGCATTTACTCTAAAGTGGATCTGTGAAAAACGGGCTCCTAGTAGCAGAAATGCCTAAGTACCCTGCAATGTCCGAGATTTTGGCTTATGTTTGCGTTTACTAGGAACCAGCCATGTCTGAACTAAGGGCAGGTCCAACTTTGTACAGTCTCGTTGTTTTTTTTTTTTTTTTTTACATCAGTGCACTTGTCAGATTTGACTAAACCCCAGGGCGTACTCCTAGCATTTCCTGTCCAGTTCCGAGTGTACAGTTGGACTTTTGACGAGGTAGATTAACATTGCGAGGCGCAGTACCTGGGTTGGATTGTTACCGAATATCTCGAGGGTTACCGCACCTGTGGCGGAGGGGGTCATTAATGGCAAAGGAAATTTGGCGAAAAGCGAGCGGTACTGTTCGACGTGTTTGACGCGAAACGAGTTGGGAGACGAATGGACAGTGAACCTTCGGATGTGTTTCGCACGTCCCGGGGCTCGTTTCCAAAATGTCATAATATATGTACGGTCTCCCGTCAAATGGATTCCGTACATTTAAAGGTTCTTTTACACGCCTAAATGTGGTAACTGAGCTGAAAATCAACCCTACATGTGCAAAGTTTGACCCGCCCTAAAAGCAAGAGGTTGAGCTTGAAATGAGCTAGATTTGTGAAACCCTAGATTGGAAACCAGCGCGGCCAATGTTTGCGTAGGGTAATTTTGAACTCGAACATGTTCGAATCGAACCTTTTTGGCAAAAAAAAAAGAGCCATGTTCGGTTCGACTCGAACGAACAGGTGTTCGTGAATACGCTCATGTCTAGTCTGCCCTCCCAATCCAACTCTGCATGGAGTGGCAAGGCATGGGGTGACGACCAGCATGGGGTGATGACAATGCATGGGGTGGCGAGGCATGGGGTGGCGAGGCATGGGATGATCAGGCATGGGAAAAAATCAAGAGGTGAGAGTGGATTGATTGTGGTGGTTCAGTCACCTCCTGCTCGCGACGGTAGAAGAGTGAAAAACCTATGTCAGTTTCTCGCACTTGCTGCCATGGCACGTACAGGATATCAGTGGCGGTGACGCGAGCACAGGGGTTCACCATCCAGCCTCACTACGACATCTACTACACGCTCGACGACAACCCGCGCTACTGGTCGCTGCCCAACCCACCCGTGGGCTATCAGGCCGCCATGTCAGCAGTGGACACGCTTGGCTTCGTCACCAACCTCTGCGCCGTCTACTTTGCCCTTCAGGGCATCAAGTCAGTCTCGCTTCGCTCCCATGCCCCTGCCTCCATCGCGATACCACTTGCGACCAGCCACATGTCTTGAAGCTCTTGAACTTACCACCTTGCTCCCCCATCCCCTTTTTACCGCTTTCCCCTCTCTTCTCTCTCCCTTCTTTCCCCTCTCCTCATCTGCCCCCTCCCCCCTTTCCCCTCTCCTCATCTGCCCCCTCCCCCCTTTCCCCTCTCCTACCTGCTCATTCCCCGTTCCTTTCCCCTCTCCCCTGCTCTCCCCTATCTCCCCTTTCTTCCCTCTCCGGTCCCCTTCTCCCCTCTCCCCCCACTCTACCGCCTCCCCCCCTTCTCCTGCCTCTCCACCTCCACCCTCTCCCCTCTTTCCCCCATCTCCCTCCTCTCCCCTCTCCAACCCGTTCCCCATCTCCCCACGCTTCCCTCTTTCCTCTATTCTCTCACTCCCCTGTCCCCTAACTTCCATGCTGCCCCCGTGTTTCTCTAGAACGGTGTTATCTGTAGCCCGCATCACAGCACGAGCACAAAAGGCTTCTCCCCCGCCACATGTTTCATATCGGTCGTCGTGCTTGCCTTGCCCCATGGTGCGTGCCACCATCTGACCCCGCCAGTGTGTTCATCATGGTGCTGCGCCTCTTGAAGCTGATGGACTTTCAGCCCAACATGGGCATCATGACTCGCTCCCTCCGAGTCGCCATGCCGTCTCTCCTCCACTTCTTCATTCTCTTCTTCGTTGTCTTCGTGGCATACGCCACCTACGGCTACCTGGTGTTCGGGATGACCTTAGTACAGGTGCGTGCCACTTGCGTGCCTCTCCCGTGTTGTTGTTCTCCCTAAACAACGTCACACCCAATTAGTGAAGGCTCAGAGCGAACCGAACCAGGACCGGTTCGTTGGACCAATCATGGTCGGGTCAAGTACCGGCAGGGTCACAACCCGTTTCGACCCAAACTGGCTCTGGTTCGCGTTGAACCACGATTGGGACGAAGGTACGATGTGTGCTAAGTTGGCATTGTATTGAAAACATAATACTATCATGGCCCTTGGCATAGAGGGGCGACCTAGACAGTGATGGAGAATGGATGGGCTACAGGGCGACAGTGAGAGTCAGAGCGGGTGTTGGATTATGGGGGGGACAGGAGAGATGAGGGAAGGCGAGGAGAGGAACGGCAGGGGGTTAGTGGACGTGCATGCCGGCACGTGCTAAGACCCAGAAGCAGGAGGGATGGGTAGGGGGCACAGTGGATCGCATGCAAAGAGAAGAGGCAACAAGAAGTGAACGGAAACATGCCACACAGAGAGGAAGGGGCGAGATCAGCACTTGTAGCCCCAGTTTGCTGAGCAGCATGCTCGGAAAGGATGTTTAGTTGCACCTCAAATTTACGTTCCGAGTCTGCCTATGATTTCTTCAGAGTGTTCTGCGTTGCAGGGTTGCTTTGGAGGTACTGAACGCTCAGCTATGTGTGTGCGTGCTTTCTTCGTTGCCCCCTTTTTCCCCAAGTGCAGTTCAGCACGCTGTGGCTGTCCCTGCAGACCTGCTTCTACATGATCGTAGGGCAGTTCGGAGTGTTCTGGTTCCAGCAGATGGTGGGGTGGCAGTACGCGGCGGCCATGGTGTTCTGGTTCTCCTTCGTCATCATCTTCTGCTTCATCCTCTTCAACTTCCTCATCGCCATCATCGTGGATGCCTTCATGGCCGTCAAGGTCAGTCAACAAAGGTCAACAGCAGTCAAGGTGAGTCAATGCTGGTCAACAGCAGTCAAGGTGAGTCAATGCAGGTCAGCAGCAGTCATGGCGGGTCAACGCAGGTCAACAGCGGTCATGGCAGGTCAACGCAGGTCAACAGCAGTCATGGCGGGAAAGCACAGGTCAACAGGGTGAAACAAGTCAATGACGATGAATGTGAGTCAGCAGTATGGTGTTGTGGTTCTCCTTTGTCACCTTATCCTTTGCGCTCTTTACCTTCCTCTTAGTTATCATCCGCTCCTTTCACACTTCGTTTTGTTCTCAGCATCACATATGGTTGGAGTGTGTTGTGACTCCTTGGCGCTCTGTATTTTCACCCTCCCTCCCTCCCGCTTGCACTTTTCTACTGACCCACGTGCACGGGTTGGCAGGAGTCGACGGAGAAAGCACCGGCAATCTACCAGGATATGTACTTGATTGTGGTGCGCTTCGTCCGCCGCGTGGCATCGCCGTACACAAGGTACAGCCGCCTGCTGCGCCACCTCATTCGCCTCGGAGCAGAGAACACCGCCAATGCGGTCATGGAGGTGAGCGGCCCGGCCAGGGAGGTGAGCGGGCAGGGAGGTGAGCCGGCAGGGAGGTGAGGGGGCAGGGAGGTGAGCGGGCAGGGAGGTGAGCGGGCAGGGAGGTGAGCAGGAATGTGCGCAAAGATGGGGATGCGATTGAGAGGGGAGTGTAGGAGAGTGATTTTTTAGCTCTTACTATTTCCATCCATAAATAGGGATGTGCATGACCTGCACGATGATCCGCACGATGATCCGCATGACCTGCCAGAGCGCTTTTTGAACTCTGACTTCCAATTTCCAACCACATGGGTCCCCGCTCTCTCGTGCGGGTTCCCACCAAACCAGTGCGGTCTAATCTCCTTAATAATCCTGCTTCGAGACAATGTGGCAATGAAGGATGACTGGTTCAAGTCAAACTCGGGCAAAAAATCCTTAGGATGTCCTAGATTATATTTTTTTTCTTCTTCACATCGAGACCACAATTTGCTTACCAAAGCTCCTACACATCCTGAGCGGCGTCTGTGTCTCCCACTGCCACCTTCATTCGTGTCCCACTGCCACCTTCATTTGTGTCCCATTGTCCGCCACTCCGCAGAAGAGCCTTCAACAGTCCGGCCAGCAGTGCTTTGCGTCGAGCCTTCAGTGCGGCAAGGAGATGAGAGGCAGCAAGCGTGATACTGATGGGGGCAGGCTGGAGGATGCTGTTCGTGATGGCAATCCGGGGATAAATGGGGTGGAGGTGGTGGGAAGAGAGGGAAAAATGGATCCTTTTGAGGCGCAGCAACAAGTGTCAGCGATGGTGGGAGCAGATGAGACTAACTTAAGCCGGGCTGAGAGCAAGAAGGGGGTATTGCCGAATGGTGGGGTCGCCAAGTCCCAGGCAGCCGGCAGCACCAACACTCAGGTGGACGCCCATGCTTCCACCACCCCTGCTGCTAATCCTGGCAGCACCGCTGCAGGTGATGCTGGCAGCACGGGTGGCAGCATGGTGGAGCCGGCAGTGCAGAGGCGGCGGAGCTTCTGGCGGCTGAAAACGCTGGATGATTGGGAGACTGTGGTGGTGGTGGGGGAGAGGCAGCTCAACGCCCACTCGCTCTCTTCCATCCTGCGCCGCGCACACGCCCGCATGGTGAGACGGGGGGCACTGCATGCATCACATGGGGGTGCATTATGGATGGGATGGGGCATAACATGCATGTCAAGGGATTTAATGGCGCATGGCATGTACGCCTGGTAAATATGCTCATATTATGCAGTCATCTGTCCTGAATGCTCCACATGCAAGCACCATCCCATCCGCCCTTGAGCCTCCAATCAGTCTGTCCTTGCCACTACCAGCACTCCACACACCTGTCCGCACACATCAAGGTGCTGTTGTGGGAGATGGGGGATTGCCTCTCAGACTCCTTGCCTTTCTCTCCCATGTCATGCCATCCCATCCGCCCCTGCAGCGGCGCTCTCTCTCCGACGAGCAGGAGGGGGACCCCATGGACGTGGCAGCGCTGGGGGCGGTGCTGCTGTCGGAGCTGGGGGAGAGCGCGCCGCCTGCCGACGCCACGGCTGCAAATGGAGGCGAGGCGGCAAAGGAGGGCGACCTGCTGGCCATGCAGCAGCACGTGGAGGCGCTGCGGGCCGACGTGGCCCGTGGCTTCGACCAAGTGAGGCAGCAGCTCACCACCCAAGTCCAGAGCTCCCATTGCAACCAGTTGCCACAGGAAGCCAGTCCGAGCCTGCTCCCGAACCCGCTAGGCAATGGTTCGGAGGAGGCTGGGCGAGAGGTGTGGCAGCAGGTTTTGATGCAGGTGGAGAAGATTCGGAAGGAGGCTCAGAAGGAGCGAGAAGAGGGTATGGAGATCCTGCAGGAGCTCAGAAGAGAGTTGCAAATGCTGAGGGCAGCGAGAGGAGAAGGGAGAGAGAGGGGAGGAGAGGAAGAGAAAAGGGATGGGAGTGGGGGAGGGGCATGAGAGAAGAGCATTGAGTGCAGGGTCAGAGTATAGTGAATGAAGCGAGTGCTGTTGCATTGTGAGCTGTGATGCTGTGTATGAGGCTAAAGCTCCGTGGTGCTTGGCACTGCCAGCTGAGGAGTTGTAAGAACGAATTTTCTACCAGCTGAGGATTTGTAAGAACGTATATTCCCACACTTCACATGGACGCAGCATGTGCTGCTGCGTAGTGTGAAGTGGTCACGACCTGGTTCAGTCGCCAGTGTGGTTCAACATGCTGTGAAAGCCTGAGGGCGGTTCATTACATAAATGCAGTAAGTTAATGAACAGTATTTACAAAATTGGTCCCAATGGAGCAAGTACTCTAGTATTTGAGCCATGTTGATGTTATTCTCTTGGCTGTGCTGGTTGTTTCTTTGTTCATATGAACTACAAGCCGAGGGTGTGCGTCCTTTATAGTAATAGATGCTAGGAAAATGTTGGAATTAAGGTTAATTTGGATTGCTCCAATAAACATATGTAGTGCTAGATCCACACAATAGTAGTGTGAAAAAGATCGATTGGGTTGTGTAAGGAAAATTCCTTTTCCTTACTTCGCATCCCTGCTCAATGCGTACATCGCTGTAGCACCACAGTCAGCACCGTTACCACTCGCAACCCTCCCATCGACAATCCGCCCGCCACCTTCGCACATCGCACCCCGACCTCACGGCTCGGCGGGTAACCCGCGCTCCGGGCCTCCGCTTCGACACTTTTTCCCAACCTCAGTCCCAGGCCCGTCGCGCGACAACCACAGTCCATTACCGTTACCACTGTAGTTTCGCCATATATTCTTTGCTCATGCCTTCCCTCATTGTACTCTTGCTCCGATAGTGCAATTCTCGTTCGTTCACTCAATTGCACTCGTAACACTTGGTATTCAGAGCCTACGATCTCCTCTCGGACCGCACCCATGAGAAGAATTGAACGAGAATGAAATGAGTATGAACGAAGTGAGTACAAATAGGAAACCCTAATTGTGTTGTACCCCCTATGGGATACCCCACTATAGCCTACACAAACAAGTAAGCTATGTGTTCTGACACACCCCCATAGGCAAAGTGGGGGAGAACAAAGGGTCACAAGACCAGTCAAGCAAAGCAAAGCAAAGCTCAGGGTGGATCACAAAGTCACCACGCATTCCGAGCACAAGTTCAAAGGCCACAAGGCCAGTTCACATGCAAGATCATATATAGAGGTATACAAGAGTCAAGCAAGCAAGAGCAAGAGTATATATATGCGAAGGTACAAGCAAGGTCAAGAGGAGAGCAAGTGAGGCAAGACAGGCACAAGACCCAACTGCGTGCAGCAACGCTGATGATCACAAGGCGCAAGTGCCTTGGTGAAGACATCAGCAGTGTTGGCCTCAGAGGCCACGTACGCAAGTCGCAGCTGTCCACGCTGCTGTAGCTCACGAGCAAGAAAGTAGCGAAGAGCAATGTGCTTCGTTCTGTGCTCCAGTCGCTGCTCTCGACACAAGGCCAGCATGGCCTTGTTGTCTACGTACAGGACTGGAGGAGAACGAGGCTGCTCTCCAAGGTCGGTCAGCAGGTAGGTGAGCCAACGTAACTCCTGTGCAGCCATAGCCCCAGCGTAGATCTCAGCCTCACAACTGGAGCCGAGAACAGAAGACGAGCGGGTAGCCCGCCACGAGACAGAGCCGGAACCAAGGCTGAAGGTGTAACCCTGTGACGACCGCTGCGTAGCCTGGTCGTCAGCCCAAGAAGCGTCTGCGTGCCCAGTGAGGACCACTGGACTGCGCCCTCCAAGAACTAGCCCCATGCCCGACGTACTGCACAAGTAGCGCAACACCCTCTTCGCTGCAGCCATGTGCTCTGGTCGGTGTCTCCCAGGAGCAACAAAGCGTGCGAGAATGCTAAGAGGGTATGCGAGGTCAGGTCGTGTGCAGGTCATCAGGTACATGAGGCAGCCAACAAGCTCTGCAAACGGGCCACTCGACTCTACGGACTCATCCGAAGGCAGAGCTGAGAGCGAGTGACGAGTAGGCAGAGGAGTGGCCTGAGGCGAGGAGTACGTGAAGCCGAAGCGCTGAAGGACCTGCTGCACCATGTGTGACTGAGTCAGGGTAATGGTGCGGCGTGCTCTGTCCCGGGTGATCTGCAAGCCAAGGTAGCTGCGCAGTTCACCCAGGTCAGTGCACGTGTGTCTCTTCTGCAGCTCGGACTTCACGTAGGCGAGTCCAGCAGTGTCAGCTGTGGCAAAGACCAAGTCGTCGACGTACACGAGGATGTAGAACGGCGGCAAAGAGGTGTCGGTGCGCAGAAACAGCGACGGGTCGGCAGTGGAAGGAGCAAACCCAAGTGCCGCTAGCGTAGTCCTCAGTGTGTCGTGCCACTCACGTGGCGCCTGGCGGAGACCGTAGACTGGACGCCGGAGACTCCACTGGGTACCAGGAGGGAAAGACCCAGTGAAGCCAGGTGGGCGACGCAGCCAGATCTCCTCGTGCAGGCTGCCCTGCAAGAAAGCTGTGCTGAAGTCGAGAGAGTGCAGCTCGTAGTCACGGTGAGCAGCAACGTGCAGCAGAACCCGAAGAGTGGTCATCTTCGGGGTGGGGGAGAAGGTCTGAAAGTAGTCAACCCCCTGCCGCTGACTGAAGCCACGAGCCACGTAACGCGCCTTGAAGACAGGCGGAGAACCCGGCGGCCGCTTCACCCTGAAAATCCACATGCCACTGACGATGTTCGCCCCAGGAGGGGGAACAGCGTCAACGTAGGTGCCTGTGGACTTCCAGGAAGCCATCTCTGCATCCATAGCTGCCTGCCACTGAGAGGAGTAGGGACCCTCTATCGCCTCCGCGTAAGAGCGCGGAGTCGGGATGTCTGGTGCATCCAGGTCTCCCTCAGGGGCTAGCAGTACAGACGCGAGACGAGGTGAAGCGGCGGCCAGACACTGGAACTCCTCCTGCCTGTCCTCAAGGACGTCCGTGCCAAGGGCACACTCACCCCCGACGGACGGAGGACAGGCGGACTCAGACTCAGTGACAAGACGAGCAGCGTAGTCTAGACGACAGCGCGCAGCAAAGTCGACAAGCTCAGTGACAAGGGCAGACGCAGCAGACGACTCGAAGGAGGGGTCAGTGACAGCAGTAGCCAGGAGACGCGTGACAGTAGGACTGGCAGCACGAAGAGAGTCCGACTCCGGGTCGGCAAGAGCAGGAAGAGAGGAAGCAGGAGGAGAAGGCAAAGGGGCACGCAGAGGAGCAGTGGACGGACGCAGTGACATCCGGTGCGTGCCAGGGACAGGAGGAGGACGCTGACGCGACCCGCGACCACTAGCGCGCTCAGTACGAACAGGCGACACAGGACGAGACGCAGGCTCACGACGCTCAGTAAGACCTCCAGTCGGACCAGCGTAGGGAGAAGGAGCAGGCAAAGGGGAGGCAGGCTGTAGCTGTGGCTGTGACCGGACAGGCTGCGGACCCTCTAAGGGAGGAGGAGGAGGTGTAAGACCAAGAACCTGCTGCAGGAGCGGAACGAAGTACGGTCGGGGCCGCGCGGCGACGCTAGAAACAGCAGGAACAGCACCAGTAGCCCCGGCAGGAGCACCCACTCCAGCAGCACCTCCAGCAGCACCACCAGAAGCTCCAGAACCCCCAGCCGCAGCACCAGGAGCACTGTCAGTCGGACCGCCAACGGCAGGCTCAGCGCCAACACCCTCAGCAGGACCAGCTCCAGGAGAACTCTCAGACCCAGCAGCTCCAGCACCCACAGTACGAGTACCGGCGGGACGCGCGGCAGCAGTACCCTCTGCAGTCGAAGAACCACCCGCACCAGCAGCACGCCTCCAGCGCCTGGCAAACCACTCACGCAGCTCCTGTGGGGAGAGTGGCTCCCGGCGAGACGAAGCACCCCCAGGCACAGCACCTCCAGGCTCAGAACCCCTAGACACAGCACCCCCAGGCACAGCACCCCCAGGCTCAGCAACCTCAGGCACAGCACCCCCAGGCGTAGCACCTCCAGGCTCAGCACCCCCAGGCACAGCACCCCCAGACTCGGCACCTCCAGGCTCAGCACCCCCAGGCACAGCACCCCCAGGCTCAGCACCCCCAGGCCCAGCACCCCCAGACTCGGCACCTCCAGGCTCAGCACCCCCAGACTCCGCACCCCCAGGCTCAGCTCCCGCAGCAGCACCAGAGTCACCAGTGACCTCGACAGGCTCGACCGCGTCTACGTGGGACACACCTGAAGGGGCAGGACCCTGAGGGGGGAGGGGGACTACCGGGGGGGGACCTGGTACCAAGAAGAGCGGGGGTGGGGGGAGGGACGGAGTGCGGTAGGGGAAGAGGCGGTAGTAGGGTACCGACTCGTCGAACGTGACGTCCTGGGAGGACAGAACACGTCGAGAGGTGGGGTGGTAAAACTGCCACCCAGGGGCGTCGGGGGGGAACCCCAGGAAGACGCAAGGAGAAGCACGAGGGGACAGCTTGTCCGCAGACAGGTCGCGAACAAACGCCCGAGATCCCCAGACCCGGAACGCCGACGCATCGCCAACCTTCCCCGTCCACAGCAGGGCTGGGGAGGTCTCCGGTCGAGAGACCCTGGGGTGGAGGTTGATCTGGTGCGCAGCGTAACTGACCGCAAACGGCCACAGAAAATGGGGAGCAGCCGCATGCATCATAGACGTACGAGCGACGTCCATGACCATGCCAATGCGGCGCTCAGCAATCCCATTCTGCTGTGGTGAGTCCGGAAGCGTGAAGGTCTGACGGATGCCTCGCGCACGACAGTAGGCACTCAGGAGGCCAGAGGAGAACTCTCCGCCTCTGTCCGAGTGCAGACGTAAAACAGGGAAGTCAGAGCCAAAGCTCCTCCGAAGCTGGAGACGAGCTGCGCGGATCCAGTCGATCAACACCTCAGTGACCTCACCCTTGCTGCGCAAGGGGAAGACTGTGGTGTAACGCGAGTAGTCGTCAACCACCAGCAGGAAGTAGCGCTCCTGACCCTGTCCACGGACGCGGGCTGGGCCCCACACGTCCATGTGAAGCGTCTGCAACGGGGCCTCTGTCGGAGGAAACTGGGAGGAGTGAGGGGCAGCACGCTGGCGCCCCTCGACACAGGGGACACAGGTGGGGCCAGGGCCCGGAGGAAG